TAAACTCCTAAACCCTAAACTGAACCCTGGGGCCCCAAACCCTAAACCTTAAACCCTAAAACCCCAAACCCTAAACCCTAAACCCTAAACCCCGAAACCCTAAGCCCTGAACCCTGAGGCCCCAAACCCTGAAACCGTGGTTCCAGGCTCGAGACCGAAGCGCGGGATCTGGACTCTCGGGTTATCGCCCTGGAGGCCGTGGGTGGGGAAATAGCCAGTCTGCATACCTAAAACCCCCAGCCCTAAACCCCTAAGCCCTCAAGTTGCAGGATAAGCAGCGGCAAGCTGAACGCGAAAGGATCGAAGCTTCAGGCCGCTTCAGGGATTCGGGTTCCGGTTTTGTTTAGGGTTTAGGGTTTAGGGTTCCGCTTTTGCTTTCTTGGATCGGGTTGGGAGGCCTTAATGGGGCTGTTGTTTCGGGGGTTGAAGGTTTAGGGGTTCAGGGTTTGGGTTTAGGGGTTGGTGGGATGAAAGTTGAATGTCGAGAGGTCTGGGGTCAGGGTTTAGGGTCTTCGGGGAGCAGGGCTGATGGGGCTTGGGGTTTCAGTTGAAGGACCTTCTTCCAAAGATTTAGTCCCCTATAGTAACCATCTCACAGTTCTTGTGTTCATGGGGGATTTCGCATAAAGTCTTTTCCTTGCGGGTGCCTATGTTACCCCTAAATCTCAAAAACTCTCAAAGCCCTGTAGACCCCTAAAAGAAACTTGTAAGGCCCGCTAGGCCAGTACAAGAACCAAACTCCCGAGTTGTGCTGCAGAAGAGACCCCCCCACTCTTTCCCCAAGTGCAAACCCTAAACCCTAAACCCTAAACCCTAAACCCTAAACCCTAAACCCTAAACCCTAAACCCTAAACCTCAAGTGAAGAACTGAGGCGACGCCACGCGTGAAGCCGAGGATGCACGGATTGCCCGAGTCGGGGTGCCCAGGTGTTGAGCTTTTTCCAGGGGGCAGTATGAGTTTAGGGTGTAGGGCTCCAACCCTAAACCCTAAACTGTCAGTTAGATCATGGACAACTTGAGGTTTTAGGGATTTTGGGGCTTGGTTTCGGCTTCAGGTTTGGGCGGCTTTAGCTGTCAGGCTTTAGGTATCTGGGTTCAGGGTTTAGGATTCCAACAAACCTACAGGCTTTCGTGGAGTTGCAACTGAAGCACGTCCTCACAGCAGAATCCGACAGAGTGTCCTCACATTTTGGCCAACCGGGTATGGAATGACCGACACCTGTCACGTGGGAGATGAAGTGCTGCGGTCCAGATCTACCGCATGTGCCCCGTTGGCCCAGGCATCCGTGGCCCCACTGTCCAAGGGTTTAGGGTTTAGGGTCCATGGGCCAAAGACGGCAGTAAGCGTGACATTGTAAGCAAAAGAAGCCAACGCCGGAAAGCTTCACTTGCGAGGCGGTTCCCCTCAATCCGAGGATTTGTAGCCATGAGCACGGTTCGCTGCAATGTTTTCATGTCCGGCAAATATAATACTAGTTTGCTTTACAGGTTTACGCGTAATTCCTAGTGTTCCAACACGTGATGAAGACTTTGATGAGAGGTGCGGCCATGATGACGGTGGTGATGACGATGATGATGACGATGTTTGTGGTTTCATGCTGTTGACGATGACTATGGTAGGAAGCCGGACAGGTGGGAAACCCCAGCCCACGCTTTGGATGCATGAAAACCCCCACTGTAGAGTACTGGAGCCACAAACCCGAAACTTTGCGCCTTGCCCTCAGCTCTAAATCCAAAGCCGATTACCTGAAACCCCCTAAGTAGCTAGAATGATGGCCCAACACCTGTCAAAGCGTATTGTCACGCCAAACCCTAAACCCTGAAGGAACCCGAAACCCTGAAACCCTGAAACCGAAACCCTTAAAGTTTGCCTTAAAGAACCTTAAACAAAGACCCTCGAAGGAAGCACCAAAGGAGCCCTTGAAGAACCTGAAATTCTTAAAGACTCTTGAAGAAGGGTTTAGGGTCTTGAAGGAACCCTCTAATGCAGCCACACCCGAAAGCACACGTGGATAGTTCTCTAAATTACGGGCCCGTTTTGGGTCCCCAAAATAGTGCGGCACCCTTGCAAAAAAGATCCTTAAAGGTACCCTAATTTAGAGAATCACACCAAAACACATATAGAACTTCTAGAACCCTTATAGTACCCTTATGGAAACCCTTTCGAGGCCGTTGTAGATCCCTTGAAGGAACCACCCACACTTGGAGAATTACCCACACACAAACCCAGGAGTTAACTCGAAACCCTAAACCCTTGTAGATCCCATTAAGGAACCCCAAAACCGTAAATCCTTGTAGATCCCTTTAATGAGTCCCCAAGAAGGGGAACGACCCTCCAGGATCACTCTTCGAACCTCCCTTGAAAGAATCCCCAATCTTATAGAAACCCTTGTAGATCCGCTGAGGGAACCCCCAAGACTCTAGAAACCCTTCTAGATCCCTCTACGGAACCCCAAGAAGGGGAAACGACCCCCAGGATCACTCTTCGAACCTTTCAAGCCGTTTGGCCTCCGTGGAAAGGGACGCCAAGGCTGGAGTGGGTTGTGGGGTTTCGGGTTTGGAGTTTAGGGTTCAGGGGTTTCCTGTTTAGCTTTTGGGGGGTTGTAGGGTATTTGAATTATCGAGTTTGGGATTCAGGGTTTAGGGTTGAAGGGGTTTTGAGTTTAGGGTCTGGTTCGGGCTAGGGTTCTTGGGCTGTACGGTTGAAACATTTTTAGGGCTTCAGGATTTGGGGTTTCCTGGGCTTCTGGTTAGCATGGGCTCTGATTGCACCCCGCCGCTGCCTTGGTGAATGAGCTAGGATCCTGGCTCTCTGTTCATGTAATCGTTGGCTCCTGAATTTATCCTAGCAGCGCGGTTGGGACAGAGCTTGCGCAAAATATTGGACATTTTCGGATCGCTGCGTGGGCAAGGTTCACTAAGCCCTAAAACCTCAAATCCCTAAACCCTAAAACCCTCAAATCCCTAAACCCCCCAAACCCTCAAATCCCTAAACCCTAAAACCCTCAAACCCTAAACCCTAAACCCTAAAACACCCAAATCCCTAAACCCCCAAAGCCTCAAATTCCTAAACCCCTAAAACCCTCAAATCCCTAAACCCTAAAACCCTCGAATCCCTAAACCCTAAAACCTTCAAACCCCTAAACCCTAAACCCCTCACATCCCTAAACCCCAAAACCCACAAATCCCTAAACCCTCAACCCCTAAAATCCCGAAACCCCAAAACACTCAAATCCCTAAACCCTAAACCCCTCACATCCCTAAACCCTCAAATCCCAAAACCCTCAAATTTCAGAACCCTCAAATTCCAGAACCTTCTCCTGGGCAGGCACAGCTCTCGGCCCTGCAGCCGATGATCCAGGTGCGGATGTGTCTATATAGTTTAGGGTTTACAGAGTTTAGGG